TGTGTGTGTGTGTGTGTGTGTGTGAGAGAGTGTGAGTGTGTGTGTGTGTGTGTATATAAATATATATTTATATATTTATATATTTAATGCCCATAAAAGCATGTCTTAAACTATTTTGCAGACGTGAGGATTTTTTACGCTCATATTAATTAATTTTAAATCCCAGAAGAACACATTATCCGAACATATGGTTTGTCAAGCCATATTATTTTTAATTTGCTTCAGGAAATAAAAGACGACTTGGAACCCTCAACTAGGAGTCACGCAATACCAGGTCTATCAAAACTTCATTTTTTTGGCCTCCGGTTCTTTTCAACGTACTGTGGCTTCTTTATTTCTTTATTTGTGACTAGCTAATTTGCTCTGCGCTTGGTATATTGCATTGGTCGATATGTAAATGAGATGTTGCGTCTGTGTTCTTTAATTTAAGCAGTGTTAGTAAATCACTCGCAGAAATATCCACGCACATCTGCGCTGTTTTGGAATTGCGCTCTCGCGGTAATTTGCCCTGCTTAGTAAAACTGGCCCTAAAACTTTAACTAAAATTAAATGAAAATAGAAAAATTAATTCTAATTCAAAATATTAACAAAAAACTACAATAGTATCTCAAAATAAAACAAAAAACGTTTCTAAAAATGTTGAACTAACTCTATTTTCACCCAAATTGTAACATTATCTGAACATTTATTTTTAATATTCTAAAAACTCTAAAATGTCCAGTTTTCTCATGGCGATTAAAATGCTATTTAAAGGTTACATAAGCATTCCGTACAGCATTCAACTAACTTTATTTATTTTAAAAATATAACGTCACTTAAAAGTTGCTTTTTTTAAATTCTAAGAATGTTAAAATGTGCAGTTTTATTGTCGTGATTATGATGTTATTTAAACGTTATAAAAATGTTCTTAGAACATTCAAGTTAAAATAACATCATAAATACAATCCAAGAATGCTGATCTAATAATGTTTTATCTCAATGTTATGAGAATGTATATCAAATATTAATAATGTTATACAAACATTCCATAAACATTAAGAATGTTTTGTCCTGACATATATAGAACTTAAAAAAAAAACATTAGTGAAATGTTCCGTGTTAGCTGTGAAGTATCGATCGTTTCACAGACAGAAAACAAATCCGAATACACAGAGTTCTGTTGGTGGACATCTAGTTTACTTCCAGCTAAGTCCTGCAAACTAAACTGTAAAACCAGTGAAACCAGGATTGAAAATGAAAAAGGTGTGTTTTGATCAAGTGAAGTTTGGTGTTCCTGGTAAACACAGACCTGCCTGTGCTAATATAAACTCCTGGTATCGAGCGCCGATGTTGTTTCTGGCTGTGCAGTTGTAGCGTCCAAAATCCCGGTCGGACACCGGAGTGACCTGTGGATCAACACAAACCAGAGGTGAGGAGAATGAGAAAACATTGTTTTAGTAGTGAAATTATGTGCTAACCAGCACCTTTTGTTTTGGATGTTTTTTGTATTAATTAGTTTCACCAGAAAGACTTCCCTGGTCAACCTGCGTCACCAGAAAGAGCATGCACAATTAATCAAAACTACACAGACATATTTAAAACAAACAAATAAGGTAAAAACCCACAACTAAAACTTTACCTGGAATTAAAATGAAAATGTAAAAATATATATTAAAAACAGTTACTATACAGATATAAATAAATAACAAAAACACATAACTATAACTTGAACTCAAATATAATCAAAATTGTAAATCTAAAAATAAAACCTAAAAAATAAAATTCTAAAATCCTAATTCTAAAATCCAAATTCAAGATATTAATAAAAAAACTACAATAGTGATCCTAAAATAAAACCGGTCCTACATCAGCACCAAACTAGAACTTCAGACTTGAAACATATTCTTCACAAGATGCTTAAGTTTTTAGCTACTCTATACACTATACTCAATTTTACGCATTTTAATTTTTAATTGTCAATTGATATGCAATAATGCAGCATAAACCAACTTTTACGGTTAGTTAGTTGTTGTTTTTTTCAGGTCAACTACTGACGTGGCTGAGCAAAACGGTTTGAAAAGAATTCAATATGTGCAACGTAAATAAAGTACTAAAACCTCGAGAAGCGATCGGCCGTCTGCGGCGTGGATGCGGATGTTGCTGGTTCCTTGACTGGAGATGGTGAAGCGGTCTCGTCTCCACAGCATGGTCGCCGGAGGGTTGGACTTCACATCGCAGCTGATGTTCACCGGGTTTCCCTCCCATGAGTAGAAGATGGTTTGATTGGTCTGGAACTTCGGCGCATCTGGTGAAAGAAAGACAGAGACTGAGCAAAATAGAACTGGAGGTTGGCAATGTTATCCTAATGGATGCAATGTCACCAAGCATTAAAAACAGGATTTTGGACCATTTCAGGAGGTCCAAGGTCCTCGAAATCCAACTGATCAGCCATCTACACTGTAAAGAGTGAACTTAAAACTAAGATTACTGGAGTAGACTTGAAATTATTTCAGTCATTCTACACATTCATTTCACTGTTACATGCTGTTTCTTTGTACTTCTGCTTTTAATGAAGTTTCCCAGGCTTTTCAATTAAGCGCTACCAGCTAAAAACCATGTAAAACCAGCCATTAGAAGCTTGTTGTGGAATTAAAAATAAATGCCCTTTAAAATGTCTTGCATCAGGGCTTCAACACAAGCATAATAAATATGGTTATCATTACTTTGAATAAAATAAATGTAAAAATTAAAATAAAAAAATCCACATTTTTAATATACCTGAACATTTTTTTTCATTTTTGTATTAAAATAACTAAAAAAAAAAAAAATAATAATTGTAATTAAAATTAATTAAAAACTATATTGACTAAAATAAAAACATAAATAAATTAAAATACCTAAAATTAAAACAAAAACTGAAAATATAAAAAACTAATTCAAAATATTAATACGAAATATGAACTAAAAACTATAATAGTGCTGTTGTATTGGCTAGTTGTATTCCTTTAAAAGTTGCTTTGGATAAAATCATCTGCTAAATGAATAAATGTAAATGTAAACATACAATTATACTAAAATTACACTGGCCTGTACTACATGCGATTGTCGATTTTTTTCATGCATGTTATTGCAACTAAAACTTAAATAAAAATTAATACTAATGGCAAAAACACAACTGACTAAATTACTAAAACATTAAATAAAATAAAAATAAAAATGCAAATAATAAAAACAAACAGTAAAAATAATGAAAAACTATAACAAAATGTAATATCTATAATAAAATAACACCAGCCTGAACTACTTGCGACTCAGTAGCTTGAATTTCTTTCCATGCAATAGGGAATGTTGATGTGAATCATGTACATAAAACAGCCTCCAGAGAAGAGTAGTATTGATTGCAACAAGGAAAGACGTTACAGTCTCACTCCATTATGCGTCAGACAGCGTCTACAGTAAACAGAGTCATAAAGACGAAATGCATTTTTCGCAGAAGCTTCAGGTTTAAGCACCGAGGGCGTCTGCATTCATACGGCATTATTCCTGCTTTACGCCGACTAGAAGGCTTCCATTAGAGAGACTGATGCGGGGTCGTCCGTCTCATCTGAGGAGCAGCGCAGAGACGAGCCTGTACTAAATAAATGAGCTCATTAGCATCCGGTAACGCTCGGCTGCCTCCTGCCACGCTTATTCACAACCTCCTTTTTCACACGCTAGCCGTGAACCTCTAAGTGCACGACATGAAGACACTCCCTCCGCGAGCCCATGTCAAGGTCAGCGCGAGCATTCAGGGAAACGAGGAGCTTTATTGGCATCTCATCGCATTTAACATGAGTGACATAAATGTTATCCCAATGAATGAAACGCAGACAAAAGAATTTGAAGCAATGAAAAGAGATACAGAAAACAAGTGACCTCAACAACGTGTTGGTATTTCAGGAGACGGACCTGGAAATTAATAAGAACCTGAGGAATTAATTACTTGGGAAGAATTCCTTCCATAATTGGCTCCGTTGAGGTTTTTTTTTTCCCCCCCGAGGCCAATCAAGAACAATTGTGGGGTAAAATAATTATGAAAGCAAGAGGCACTTTGAAAAGGCCACAGAGAAACAGTGATGGGTGTAATGCATTACAAAATAGTTACTGTAATCTGATTACTTTTCTGGATTACTCTTAATTTTTCCGTAAGTTACTTCTGATGTAATACTGTATAGACTATAGAACAATTCTATGTAAAACGATAGTGAATTTAACATTATGTTTTTAATGCAGCCTTGACCCTTTATATACTTTGGTCAGTTTAAGAATAATTTATGTGATTTTATATTATTTATTTGAAAACATTAAAGAGCAGTTTCATGTCTATCCATGTATTGCTAGATATAGAATTTAAAAACAATTAGTAATAAGTAATGCACTGCCTTTTAAAAAGAGTAATTTTTAATCTAATTTCACTGTTGAGGATGTAGTTAGTAGCTAGTAATTAATTGCTTTTTTAGAGTAACGTACCCAACACTGAAAGCAATGCGATGGTATATTTGTAGTTGGTGTAGATGTGTGCATCTTACACTCGATATCCAGGAACATGCTCTTCTGATGGCCCCCGATCCTGCTGAGAGCTTCACAGTCGAATCGGCCCCAGTCTGAGAGTTGAACGCCGCTGATGGTCAGCATGGATTTTCCGTGGCGCCCGCGCACTTCCACGCGGCCGTCCTGACTCTACAAAAACACAAACACATCAGCGAAACAAACACTGCCACTGTCATGCACACACAGACAGACACAAGCACAATCATTGACATACTACAAATAAATATATTTATTATTTATATTTATAACATTTTTATTTATATGATATGCAGTTTTTAAATCAATGTTTTGGGTCTATATAATTTTCATTCATTTTCATTGCGGTTGTAGTTTTAGTTATTTTATTTAAGGGTGTTCCCGGTGTTTGCTAGGGCATTTCTATATGGTTATTATAGTGTTCTACTTAGTTGCCAGGGTGTTACTATGCGGTTGCTAGGGTGTTCTAGGGGTTTTCTAGGGCATATGTTACTAATGTGTTCTGAGTATTTGCTAGGGTGTTGCTATACAGTTGCAAGGGTGTTCTAGGGGTTTGCTGGGCCATATGGTTACTAAGGTGCTCTGAGTAATTGCTAGGGTGTTCTAGGTGTTTACTAGGGCGTATAGTTACTAAAGTGTTCTGAGTAGTTGCTTGGGTGTTACTATGTGGTTGCTAGGGTGTTCTAGGTGTTTGCTAAGGTGTATAGCTACTAAAGTGTTCTGAGTAGTTACTAGGGTGTTGCTATGCGGTTGCTAGGGTGTTCTAGGGGTTTGCTAGGGCATGCGGTTGCTAATGTCTTCTGAGCAGTTGCTAGGGTGTTGCTATGCAGTTGCTAGGGTGTTGCTATGCGGTTGCTAGGGTGTTCTAGGTGTCTGCTAGGGCATACAGTTACTAAGGTGTTCTGAATAGTTGCTAGGGTGTATAGCTACTAAAGTGTTCTGAGTAGTTACTAGGGTGTTGCTATGCGGTTGCTAGGGTGTTCTAGGGGTTTGCTAGGGCATGCGGTTGCTAATGTCTTCTGAGTAGTTACTAGGGTGTTGCTATGCGGTTGCTAGGGTGTTCTAGGGGTTTGCTAGGGCATGCGGTTGCTAATGTCTTCTGAGTAGTTACTAGGGTGTTGCTATGCGGTTGCTAGGGTGTTCTAGGTGTCTGCTAGGGCATGCAGTTACTAAGGTGCTCTGAGTAGTTGCTAGGGTGTTCTAGGTGTTTACTAGGGCGTATAGTTACTAAAGTGTTCTGAGTAGTTGCTTGGGTGTTACTATGCGGTTGCTAGGGTGTTCTAGGTGCTTGTTAAGGTGTATAGCTACTAAAGTGTTCTGAGTAGATGCTGGGGTGTTGCTATGCGGTTGCTAGGGTGTTCTAGGGGTTTGCTAGGGCATGCGGTTGCTAATGTCTTCTGAGCAGTTGCTAGGGTGTTGCTATGCGGTTGCTAGGGTGTTCTAGGTGTCTGCTAGGGCATGCAGTTACTAAGGTGTTCTGAATAGTTGCTAGGGTGTTGCTTTGCAGTTGCTAGCGTGTTCTTGGTGTTTGCAAGGGCGTATAGTTACTAAAGTGTTCTGAGTAGTTGCTAGGATGTTGCTATGCAGTTGTTAAGATGTTATAAGTGATTTTTAGAGTGTTGCCATGCGGTTGTCCTAGATGTTTGCTAGAGCATTGCTATATGGCTATACGCTGTAAGGTGTAAAAATACACAGTTCACACAAACACACAACCGGCGGTGTATGTGAACAAACCAAATAAATAAAAAACTACAGAATCTCTCACAAACATCCCTGCATAAAAACAACATCATAAATAAAAAACAAATACAAAAATAAACTCTGTTTTAGTTATTTTAGTACATCAGGATAAATTAATGAAAATGAGAAATGTTGCCTTGGCAACTAGATGAAAAAAGTTTTTGTTTGCTTTTATTTCAAATAGCAAATTGTTTTTTATGGTTTTATTTTTAGTTAACTACACTAACCCAGACAGAATCATATTAGCAATCCAAGGAAAACAGCAAAATGAGTTTGCGTTAATCAGGTAATGCATCGGTCCACAAGAGCAAACGAGCTACAATGAATATAAATGCAGCACTTTCCGACTGTAATGTGGTCACACTATCTGTGCTTGCGGTGAGATAGGGAACTTTTGAATATAAAGGGATTAGATGGTGTCCGTCCCCCAACGCCCACTTTAACGATCAGTGTTCTTCGCCTTCCCTGAAAAATCGATATGTGTCCACCCTCCGCTTGATGCCTCGCGGTCTAGAGTGCAGCACTAGCTTCAGCGCCTGACAGTCCTGCACCGACTGTGTGTTTTATTTGACAGGGGCCGTTATTGTAGGCTAGGAGATGACCCGCAGGCTTTCCTCCCTTCACACTAATGCATGAGATTAATTTTTACACGGACAACAAGAGCTGACGCACCTGCGCCTGGTGTTTCATGCCTGGAGAACATGACGCAAACACATACACACGTGTAAAAGCACAAAAACACATCTACTGAAGAAAATATGACTGGAGTTTGACTGTGTGTCGTGGGTGGTTGCTATGCACTTGCTAGGGTGTTATGAGTGGATTTCATTGTGTTGCTATGTGGTCCTTTGTAGATGTTGGCTAGGGAAAATCTATATGGTAACTAAGGCGTTCTAAGTGATTGCAAGGGCGTTGGTATGTGGTTGCTAGGGTGTTGTGAGTGTTTTTATAGTGTGTTGTTCTGCAGCTGCTAGGGTGTTCTGCCAGGGATTTCTATATGGTTACTAAGGTGTTGTGAATAGTTGCTAGGGTGTTGTTAGGTGGTTGCAAGGTGTACACAAGGGGATTTTTAAATGGTTAAATATATTATGTTGCTAAGCGTTTGCTAGGGTGTTCTAGGTGTCTGCAAGGGATATCTATATGGTTGCTAGTGTGTTATGAATGGTTTTTATACTGTGTTGCTAAGCAGCTGCTAGGGTGTTCTAGATGTCTGCAAAGGGATATCTATATGGTTACTAAGGTGTTCTGAATAGTTACTAGGCTGTTTTTAGGAGGTTGCTAGGTGTGTTCTAGGTGTTCTGCCAGGGAATTTCTATATGGTTACTAAGGTGTTGTGAATAGTTGCTAGGGTGTTGTTAGGTGGTTGCAAGGTGTACACAAGGGGATTTTTAAATGGTTAAATATATTATGTTGCTAAGCATTTGCTAGGGTGTTCTAGGTGTCTGTAAGGGGATATCTATATTGTTGTTGGGGTGTTACAAGTGTTTTTTATAGTGTGGTGCTAAGAAGTTGCTAGGGTCTTCAAGGAGTTTCCCAGGAAATATCTATAGATAGATAGATAGATAGATAGATAGATAGATAGATAGACAGACACATAGATAGACAGACACATAGATAGACAGACACAGATAGACAAACACAGACAGACAGACAGACAGATAGATAGATAGACAGACAGACATATAGACATATAGATAGATAGAAAGACAGAGAGACAGATAGACAGACACAGACAGACAGATACAGACAGACAGACAGACAGAAAGATAGATAGAAATACAGACAGACAGACAGATAGACAGACACAGATAGACAAACACAGACAGACAGACAGAAAGATAGATAGATAGAAATGCAGACAGACAGACAGACAGACAGACAGACAGACAGACAGATAGATAGATAGATAGATAGACAGACACAGATAGACAAACACAGACAGACAGACAGACAGACAGATAGATAGACAGACAGACAGACAGAAAGACAGATAGATAGATAGAAATACAGACAGACAGACAGATAGACAGAAACAGACAGACAGACAGACAGATAGATAGCTAGACAGACAGACAGACAGACAGACAGACAGATAGATAGATAGATAGATAGATAGATAGATAGATAGATAGATAGATAGATAGATAGATAGATAGATAGATAGATAGATAGATAGATAGATAGATAGATAGATAGATAGATAGATAGATAGATAGATAGATAGATAGATAGATAGATAGATAGATAGATAGATAGATAGATAGATAGATAGATAGATAGATAGATAGATAGATATAGACAGACAGACAGACAGACAGACAGACAGATAGATAGACAGACAGACAGACAGAAAGACAGATAGATAGATAGAAATACAGACAGACAGACAGATAGACAGAAACAGACAGACAGACAGACAGATAGATATAAATACAGGCAGACAGACAGATAGACAGACACAGATACAGACAGTCAGACTGACAGACAGACACAGACAGACAGATACAGACAGACAGACAGAGAGAAAGATAGATAGAAATACAGACAGACAGACAGACAGACAGATAGACAGATACAGACAGACAGAAAGATATATAGAAATACAGACAGACAGACAGATACATAGATAGATAGACAGACAGACAGACATACACATAGATAAATAGATACATAGACAGACAGACAGACAGACAGACAGACAGACAGACAGACAGACAGACAGACAGATTCTGCTCATTTGGTTCATCAGCTCCATGACTTTCTCATGTGTCTCAGACTGCTGTACAGTGTGTGTTCATCATCAGCTGCTGCAGGATGCTGTTCTGCTGGAGGGAAATGAGTGGAAACGGGAGGCGTGGCCGACACAGACGACTGAACACCAGTGATTATCTACACAACGCTGAACAGGACTTTGAGGAGCTGTCATGTACCTGAGTCCTGTAATGATGAAATCATTAGAAATGCTGCCTGTGCTAATGATTATGGAACAGGAAGAGCTACACGATCACTGTACCGCATCAATACTGCAGGTGAGATTTAAAGGGATAGTTCACCCAAAAGTGAACAGTTGCTGTTAATTTACTGTCCCTCAGGCCATCCAAGATGTAGGTAATGAAGTTACAGTAACGAAGATTTTTAGCTGAAACCGTGATCCTTGGTGATTCATTTAATGCAAGTCAATGGCTACCGGCACTTTGAGAGTCAAAAAAAAAAAAAAAAAACATACAGGCAACATAAAATTAATTCCCGTGGCTCCTGATGATATTATCGAGATCTTATGAAGTGAAACAATCAGTCTGTGCAATAAACAGATTATTATTTACAACATTATTACTTTTAATCCAGAGCCTCAGGCAAACCGTGAAATCTGATTATTTTCCGTGAACTGATTCGTTCAGACAGTTCATTTCAATGAACTGGTTAAATTCACTAATTTGTTTATGTAATCAATCACACAATGATGTAACATACATGCAATTATAATATTAAGGCACCGATAATGATGTGAAACGTGAATTTTTTACATGTCTAAATCGTATAAAGTGAATAAACTAGCCTTCATCAGCTCAACTTTTTACATAAACCGTGAGAAACCATAAATACGTTAATTTGTCCCTTCGTTCAAGTGTTGGGTCCGAGTCGAACTGCTTCCTCAGTTCAGTGACTGCTGGAGGAACTGAAGCATTGAATCAGTTCATTCATCACAGAATCAGACTCATTTCCAGTCGCAGTGACTGTCAGGTGTCTGAAAGAGAGTTTGATTGAGTAACTTGTAGATCTGTGCTGCTCGAGACGTGAACTGATTCAGATGATTCAGTCTGATTTGATGAACCGGTTCAAAAGAATGATTCGTTCAAGAACTGAACCATTTGCCTGAGGCTCTGGATTACAGGTAATAATGTTGTAAATAATTTGTTTGACTTCATAAGTCAAGTCAAGTCACCTTTATTTATATAGCGCTTTTAACAATACAGATTGTGACAAAGCAACTGAACAGCATTAATTAGGAAAATAGTGTCAATAATGCAAAATGACAATAGTAAACACTCATTTTTCAGTTAAATTAAGACCTCAACATATCATCAGGAGTCACTTTGTGATGCCTGTATGTGCTTTTTTGTCTCTCAAAGTGTCGGTAGCCATTGACTTGCATTTTATGAATCAACAAGGAGCACACCTTCAGCTAAAAATCTTCTTTACTGTTCTACTGAAGAAAAAAAAAAAGTAAAATCTTGAATGGACTGAGGGTGAGCAAATTAACAGCAAATTTTCATTTTTAAGGGCTAGTTCAGCTAAAAAACTAAAACTCTGCCATTATTTACTCACTCTAATGTTGTTTCAAACCTGAGTGAATGATGAGACATCTTCAGTTTTGGATGAGTTGCATCAGATCTGTGTGTTATTCACCTTATCTCCATCTGTGAACGTCTGTCCGTCACTGGCTCTCCTCCACGAGATCTCAGGCAGCGGTTCTCCCTCCGCTGTGCAGGAGATCATAGCAGCGCTTCCCTCCACAGCCGTCACGTTCCTCAGCTGAGTGATGTGCGGCTGGACTGAACAGACAGACAGACGGACGAGTGAACGGCTTTGAGTCACTGCAGACGTTTCTGTGAGTTTATTTTAGAGTAACTGCTTTGAATTACACCTCATTTTGCACTAAATACAATGTTCTGTCTGATAGAGGACATCACACTTACACTTAAACAGATTCGGTTTCTCATTCTCATTTTAGAAACAAATGAGAGCAAATTAAAATAATATATTATATATATATATATATATATAGAGAGAGAGAGAGAGAGAGAGAGAGAGAGAGAGAGAGCAAGGTGAGCAAATTGAGAAATTATACAAAATGCGTCTGTTTTAATTTTTTTTAGCACAATTAAGCATCACAATAAATTATATTTATGATTAATTTATTTCACATCTGCTTTTGTAGTTGAATGCTGCAATTGTCATCGTCATGTGCAAACCACGTCAGAAACAGAAAAGATTTACACTTTTGGTACTAGTGTAAATATATCTGTCTGTCGGTCTAGCGATAAAGTAAAAAAGAAAAAAAGACTGCATTAATGCAAATGTAATAACAATTGTTGCAATTATCGAGAATTGCAAAGAACTGAACAGAATTTCTAAAGACATTTGGAGGTACAGTATAATGCAGTTTAATGCTTTTAATGGTAACAAAAATAATTAGTTATAAAAGTTACCTTATGCAAAATATATTTTTGTATAATAATAATTTTCTTTATGAAAAATGTTCCCCCCAATTTATTATAGTAAAAATTATTATTTATGCTTTTTACAATAATAAAAACCTTTCATTGCTTTTCCCAAATTTTTGTTTAATTTATAATTAAAATCCTTTATTTTTGCTAGGCAAACCCCCCCCCCCTCAATTAAATAATAAAACCCTTAATTTTCTTATTACAAAATATTTTCTTCCAATTTATAATGACAAAAACCTTTCTTTATGCATTTTTTTTTAACATTTTCAATAATAAAAACCTTTTCTTCCCCTTAATTTCTTATTATACAAAAATCTTGATTTAGTTTATGCAATCTTTTTTTATTTTTTCCAATTCTTAATTTTCTTTAATAAAAATCTTTTGAAAATGTCTTTATGCTCTGAATGTCTTCCCTGTAGATGCGATGTCTTCTCAATGAACTCCCTTTAGCCGGAGAGTTTTAGTGGCACACGCTCACATCAGGAAGGCCTTGTTTAATGCTGAACTCACCGATAAACCCTGTTAGAAGTCTGCGTGTGTGTGTCTTACAGATAAGCTGCTCTATGTATCTTTCTTGGTTTTGCCTTAAGCGCCAGCAGAGTCGAGGGCAAACAAGTTTCAAGCATAAGAGCCGTTGCTGCTCTCGCACCGAGCGCCGCTGAATAAGTCCATGCTGGAGTGAATGAAAGCCAGCAGAAACAGCTCTTCACAGCGCGGGCCCTTGAACAGTGTCTGCAGAGATCAAGGAGTTATTTGTAGCGGGAGACGCAGCAGAAACGCATGCGTCTGCTACATACACACACTCCAGCAAAGACAAACACCGCGAGCCGGGAAACACTCCAGGAAACTTCAGCGATGTATTGCTGTTCAAAACACAGTGACCTTTGCACGTAAGAAACTCTGCAAAAGAGGATGCCAGAGTGTGGCTAAGGTGTTCTGAACCACATAACCACACACAACACCCTAGCAACTGCTAAATTACACCCTAGCAACCAATTAGAACCACTGTGGCATCATTCAAGAACATTATTTTGGTGGAAAATGGACAACGGTTGGTTACACTTTAATCGTTTGTTGACAAGTAAAGCATTACAGTCAGTTTATAAACACTAAAAATTTATTAATTTGTAATTATATAATTTAGAATTATATAATGTCATGAAAATAATTGTATTGAATATGATTAAATACTATTCAATATAAATAAACTTAAATTTTTGATCAGGATGTGTATTAGTCCGTGATATTTAATTTGATTATTTATTTACTATTATACATTGTTATGTCATAATTTATAATAATTATGAATTCATTTTAAAGTTTATATTTTCCCTTTTCATCTTAATTTCATTTTTAGTCATTTTGTTATGTGGTTTTGACTTTTGTTGTTTTTTGTTCTTTTTAAACATTACTATTTAGCTTTAACTTATTTTAATTTTTTAGTTTTAGTTAATGATAATAACCCTGGCATTGGTGTTTATTTACTGCCCATAAATAGTTGCCAGACCCCGAACGGTTATTATTTTCACATTTATTATATATAATGATTATTTTTTTATCGTATTTCCGATTTGTGTGTATATACTACACTGAAATTTGAATGATTTTTTCTTGAATTGGGCTAAAATAAATGATTTAAAATGGATGTATTGTGCAAATGCAGTGGTTGTGTAGTGTATTTGACAAAATTTGACAGGCTTTAAGCTAATATGAAAATGTTAACCGATGCATGAGGTAAAAATAAGCTAGTATTCCTGTAACTAGCATAAATCAACCCATTTTCTGGGTGCCCATATTTTGAATGCAGAATGAATGACTGTGAAGCTCCTGTTGACAGTGAACTGATGCTCATATGTCGTGCTCGTCTTCTCAACATGCTCTCCTGAGAGTGGCGACAGCGTACAGATGACAGACGACACGCTGTAAACACGAGGACTGTAATGACAGCGAGGTCAGCAGATCACTCTCACACCAAACACAGAGCACCGTATGAACCTCAAAACCAGCCAGAGAAACCGCTCTCATTACTGTCAAGAGCAGACGCTTAACCCTAATACTACTACTAACTCCCAAAAGCTTTGCTAGATAACTACGGTGACAAATTCCATTCAACTCTATTGGTAACGATGGAACTTGTGACCACAGATGTGTTTGGGAAACGCTCCCCAGATTGCTTGCTCTTAATACAAGGCTTAACTAGAAGTTTGTAAGTTTTCAATAGGCAGCCTTTGGATGTCCAATGAAAAGTAGCATAGAAAAAGTTTTGGTATTTAATCATTTCAGTTTTAAATCAATTATTTTTGACTGGCTTTAATCATGAATACCAAGACGTTCGAAATTCAAAGCAGTATATTCACAAGAAATAAACTATTATTAGAAATAAAAATATTAATAGAAACAAAACTATTATTGTTGATCGAAGTAAACAATAAACATTCGTTAATTGAAATAAAATAAAATATCAATTAATAAACAGAAATACTGCCTTGGCAACTGATTGAAATAAGTTTAAGTTGAAGCGCTACAATTACTGAAAATGGTAAAATAATAATAATAAAATAATAAACAATAAAAGTAAAACTCAATACTAAATAAAAAATGAATTAAACCTAAATTGTAATATTTAAAAATAACAAAAATAATAAAGTCAAAAAAACATATTGATTATTATTTTTATTAGTATTAATTATACATTATTAATAATAATAATAATAATAATGCAATACAATTATTAATTATATCATATAATTACAATTTAATATATACCAGTATTTATAAACGGACTGTATTGCTGAATATCTGTTAACAAACTGTCTATTTTTTTATATATATTAAAGTTATTCTATATTTTTATTTATATATTTTTTATTTCCATCGGAGGATTCCCTAAATATTTTTTTTCCACAAAGGATCTGTGTTTTAATCAGGCAGACAGGAGGTCCAGTCAGAATAATCAGTTTGTGGATATGCACAGCAGCTTCATGAAAACAGAAATTGAATGTGGGTCCCATAAAGAACCTGCTGGAGTTTTTCATGATAATTGAACGGTCTTTCATTTCTCTGAAATGTAATTCGAGATAGCGGCACATTTACTGCGCCACCGGCGCGTCCGAAGATGCATCGCTTCATTTTCTTCAAGAGAATCTGAGTGGAAAGCAACTAAATGGAAAACGAAAAGAAGAATCGTCTGTACCGCCATCATGAGGAAAGACTTCTTCTGAGACGCCACAACAAAGCACCTTATAAAAATCAATCAGCGTACAAAAGATGCAAACGTTTCCTCACCGAACACTTTGAGGAAGAGCTGGTTCTCGGAGCTCCCGGCCTTGTTGCTCGCGCGACATGTGTACGACCCGCCGTCGCCCTGCCGGATGTTTTTGATGGTCAGCGTGCTTTTACCCCCGTCCAGTGTGTTAAGCACGTACTGCTCCGATCGCTCGATCACGTGACCCTTCCTGTGGACACAAACCATCGGATGAGATGAATGACTGCAGCTGAGAACACATCTGTAATTGAGTTAACAGCCTATAGAATATGAATCTCTTCCCAGTTCAATTAGGGTGTGTAAATTAATTTGGAGGAAAAACATCCATCTATCCACGAGGTAATTAATTAGCAAATTCTACATGACTGCATACAGACTCTTAAGGGAAAAACACACATCTTATATAATTATAAGGAGTAATTTGATGGTAACAACATAACTTAAAAAACATATATGTTGTATTTTAGCTTATTAAAATGAAATGAATAAATATATATGATACATATAAATGTCCAATATAACAAGTGTTGTGACCATGTGATCAAGACAAGAAGTCTCTTCTGCTCACCAAGGCTGCATTTATTTGATTTAAATACAGTAACAAATTGTTCAACATTATTACAATTTAAAACAGCTGTTTTCTATATGAAAATATGTTAAAATGTAATTTATTCCTGCGATCAAAGCTGATTTTTCAGCATTATTACTCCAGACTTCAGTGTCACATGATCCTTCAGAAATAATCCTAATATGCTGATTTGCTGCTCAAGAAACATTTCTGATTATTATCAATGCTGAAAACAGTTGTGCTGACCAATATTTTTTTCTGGAAACTGGGGAATCAATGCAATTCACACCTGTAAAGTATGGAGTGCCACAAGGATCTGTCTTAGGCCCTCTGCGATTTTCATTATACCTGTTGCCCCTTGGTAATATTACTAGAAAATATGGGATTAGTTACCATTGTTATGCTGATGATACTCAACTATATATTTCAACAAGACCAGGTGAAACTTCTAAATTATCTAAGCTAACAGAGCGTGAAATGTAAAAATGTAAACGATTAGATGACCACTATAGTTTTCTTAAATTCGGTTAAGACAGAGATATTAATTATTGGACCAACAAAGAGTACACAGAATCTCTTAGTCTACAGTTTGCATCTAGATGGATGTACTGTTATTTCCTCTGCAGTCAAAAATGTGGGTGATATGTTACACAGCAGAAAATTTCACGTTACAAAACAACATTCTTCCATTTGAGAAACACTGCCAAGCTAGGAAACATGTTGCCTGTTTTGATGCAGAAAAGCTATGCATTTATGACCTCAAGACTGGACTATTGTAATGCACTGCTAGGTGGTTGTCATGCATCTTCAATAAACAAGCTACAGGTAGTCCAAAATGCAGCTGCTTGAGTCCCTACCAGGTCAAGAAAATATGATCATATTACCCCAATTTTACAGTCTCTACACTGGGGACCTATTAAGTTCCGTATCAGTTACAAAATATTACTACTTACTTATAAGGCCCTAAATGCTTTAGCTCCTGCCTACCTACCTAGTCTTCTATCACACTATGCAATCTATCATTCAATGCATCCTTGCTGAACCAAATAATTAATTAAAATAACCCTGCTTGTTAGTTAAACTAAGAGTTTCTGAGTTTAAGCTACAAAAAGTGCAGAGACAAAAGAACACTAACTATAGAAATGAAGATTCACATAGCTAACGATTCAATCACAATAACAAGGCCACAATTAAGGGAAGTGAGCACAGGTCTCTGTTCAGAGACACAATTAACCGCTGGCCCATCAGGAAAAACCAAGGAACACGGACTCAATTAGACTTTAACAAGCTAACGAAGCAGTCGTAAAGTGCAGAGACTCAATGAAACACTGAGCAAAGAGTTCAGAGGAATGATATGCAATATCGAAAATGACAATTCTGTCATGATTTACTCAGAGTCATTATTCATTGAAAATGAAGAGAACACCTCCTTTTGTGTTGCACAGATGCAAATGTCATAAATCGACATGAGGACAAGTAAATGATGACAAAATTTAATACAAATATGGATTTGAGGAAACAAAAAAGAGAGACAATGCATGCATTCATAAGAAAATGCCTTTTTTAATCTTTATTGTGGAGTAAATACTATAGAACTGGATAATAGCATAATTTCTTAATGCTTACTAATCAAATTAACAATAATGTCTGTTAAATTGAACAGCATTTAAAATATTAATTTGTAAATCTACACAGTATCTTAGCAGCAAACTTGCAGTATGTGACATGACTCATATAACACACTTTAACATCTCTGTTGTTAATAACTGTAATTTTGTAGTTTGAGTGAATTAAAGAGAACTTTGTTCGGTAAAAATACCTCAGATTTAATGCACTTTAATTTCAGCAATTTAGAAAACTATCGTGCCAATCATAAATCGGTGAAAACTAATTGTGCTGCACTTTGTGCTTGACTATTCAGACTGATGGTTTCAGACGTTATAACTTCACTTCCACTAAAGACCTCCAGCCCTTTTCGTTCACCCTGATTCAATCCCATCCGTGAGAAACACAAAAGTCTTTATTATGGCTGTCGATTTAACACAATCATTTGGCTCAGACCTGTCTGTCATCTTACACTGACGCAGTTGCTGACGCAGCATGACGGACTGTGTGAAGAAGCCCAGACAGGAGGTCCAGTCAGAATAATCAGTTTGTGGATATGCACAGCAGCTTCATGAAAACAGAAATTGAATGTGGGTCCCATAAAGAACCTGCTGGAGTTTTTCATGATAATTGAACGGTCTTTCATTTCTCTGAAATGTAATTCGAGATAGCGGCACATTTACTGCGCCACCGGCGCTGCATCACCGAAGATGCATCGCTTCATTTTCTTCAAGAGAATCTGAGTGGAAAGCAACTAAATGGAAAACGAAAAGAAGAATCGTCTGTACCGCCATCATGAGGAAAGACTTCTTCTGAGACGCCACAACAAAGCACCTTATAAAAATCAATCAGCGTACAAAAGATGCAAACGTTTCCTCACCGAACACTTTGAGGAAGAGCTGGTTCTCGGAGCTCCCGGCCTTGTTGCTCGCGCGGCATGTGTACGACCCGCCGTCGCCCTGCCGGATGTTTTTGATGGTCAGCGTGCTTTTACCCCCGTCCAGTGTGTTAAGCACGTACTGCTCCGATCGCTCGATCACGTGACCCTTCCTGTGGACACAAACCATCGGATGAGATGAATGACTGCAGCTGAGAACACATCTGTAATTGAGTTAACAGCCTATAGAATATGAATCTCTTCCCAGTTCAATTAGGGTGTGTAAATTAATTTGGAGGAAAAACATCCATCTATCCACGAGGTAATTAATTAGCAAATTCTACATGACTGCATACAGACTCTTAAGGGAAAAACACACATCTTATATAATTATAAGGAGTAATTTGATGGTAACAACATAACTTAAAAAACATATATGTTGTATTTTAGCTTATTAAAATGAAATGAATAAATATATATGATACATATAAATGTCCAATATAACAAGTGTTGTGACCATGTGATCAAGACAAGAAGTCTCTTCTGCTCACCAAGGCTGCATTTATTTGATTTAAATACAGTAACAAATTGTTCAACATTATTACAATTTAAAACAGCTGTTTTCTATATGAAAATATGTTAAAATGTAATTTATTCCTGCGATCAAAGCTGATTTTTCAGCATTATTACTCCAGACTTCAGTGTCACATGATCCTTCAGAAATAATCCTAATATGCTGATTTGCTGCTCAAGAAACATTTCTGATTATTATCAATGCTGAAAACAGTTGTGCTGACCAATATTTTTTTCTGGAAACTGGGGAATCAATGCAATTCACACCTGTAAAGTATGGAGTGCCACAAGGATCTGTCTTAGGCCCTCTGCGATTTTCATTATACCTGTTGCCCCTTGGTAATATTACTAGAAAATATGGGATTAGTTACCATTGTTATGCTGATGATACTCAACTATATATTTCAACAAGACCAGGTGAAACTTCTAAATTATCTAAGCTAACAGAGCGTGAAATGTAAAAATGTAAACGATTAGATGACCACTATAGTTTTCTTAAATTCGGTTAAGACAGAGATATTACTTATTGGACCAACAAAGAGTACACAGAATCTCTTAGTCTACAGTTTGCATCTAGATGGATGTACTGTTATTTCCTCTGCAGTCAAAAATGTGGGTGATATGTTACACAGCAGAAAATTTCACGTTACAAAACAACATTCTTCCATTTGAGAAACACTGCCAAGCTAGGAAACATGTTGCCTATTTCTGATGCAGAAAAGCTATGCATTTATGACCTCAAGACTGGACTATTGTAATGCACTGCTAGGTGGTTGTCATGCATCTTCAATAAACAAGCTACAGGTAGTCCAAAATGCAGCTGCTTGAGTCCCTACCAGGTCAAGAAAATATGATCATATTACCCCAATTTTACAGTCTCTACACTGGGGACCTATTAAGTTCCGTATCAGTTACAAAATATTACTACTTACTTATAAGGCCCTAAATGCTTTAGCTCCTGCCTACCTACCTAGTCTTCTATCACACTATGCAATCTATCATTCAATGCATCCTTGCTGAACCAAATAATTAATTAAAATAACCCTGCTTGTTAGTTAAACTAAGAGTTTCTGAGTTTAAGCTACAAAAAGTGCAGAGACAAAAGAACACTAACTATAGAAATGAAGATTCACATAGCTAACGATTCAATCACAATAACAAGGCCACAATTAAGGGAAGTGAGCACAGGTCTCTGTTCAGAGACACAATTAACCGCTGGCCCATCAGGAAAAACCAAGGAACACGGACTCAATTAGACTTTAACAAGCTAACGAAGCAGTCGTAAAGTGCAGAGACTCAATGAAACACTGAGCAAAGAGTTCAGAGGAATGATATGCAATATCGAAAATGACAATTCTGTCATGATTTACTCAGAGTCATTATTCAGTGAAAATGAAGAGAACACCTCCTTTTGTGTTGCACAGATGCAAATGTCATAAATCGACATGAGGACAAGTAAATGATGACAAAATTTAATACAAATATGGATTTGAGGAAACAAAAAAGAGAGACAATGCATGCATTCATAAGAAAATGCCTTTTTTAATCTTTATTGTGGAGTAAATACTATAGAACTGGATAATAGCATAATTTCTTAATGCTTACTAATCAAATTAACAATAATGTCTGTTAAATTGAACAGCATTTAAAATATTAATTTGTAAATCTACACAGTATCTTAGCAGCAAACTTGCAGTATGTGACATGACTCATATAACACACTTTAACATCTCTGTTGTTAATAACTGTAATTTTGTAGTTTGAGTGAATTAAAGAGAACTTTGTTCGGTAAAAATACCTCAGATTTAATGCACTTTAATTTCAGCAATTTAGAAAACTATCGTGCCAATCATAAATCGGTGAAAACTAATTGTGCTGCACTTTGTGCTTGACTATTCAGACTGATGGTTTCAGACGTTATAACTTCACTTCCACTAAAGACCTCCAGCCCTTTTCGTTCACCCTGATTCAATCCCATCCGTGAGAAACACAAAAGTCTTTATTATGGCTGTCGATTTAACACAATCATTTGGCTCAGACCTGTCTGTCATCTTACACTGACGCAGTTGCTGACGCAGCATGACGGACTGTGTGAAGAAGCCTATTAGAATGCAGTTATATGATCCTAAAATTCAAGATATGAGGGGAAAAAATGCCCCTTTTTTATTTATATCATATGATATAGTTTAGCAATATCACACCAGCAAGAGTGCTGCTTTTCTTCAATATCTGCACCATTGATTTTATACAAAAGTTCAATAAAAGTGTTTTATTGTGTCAATATTGGCTTGCTCAATTTTGCAATTAAAAATTTGACAAAACTGTTGTGCCTTTCTGAACGACATGACATGACATTACTGAATGAAAACATGCTTTTGAACAAATCCAGTGATTCATTGATTCAGCCACTGAATGAATCGGTTGAATGAATGATTCAATGACTCACTCATTAAGACAGTGATTTGTCTCCACCTACTGGTGGTTTTAGTTTAATATTGAGTGTATTTAATTAATTTTTAATATCGAGCGCTTTCATTTCTTAAAAATCATTTCATATTTAAATATAACATTTTTAAACACCAATTAAAACTCATTTCTGATATATATTGCAAATTACAAGTCATGAATTAAATATCAATTTAATCTCAATGTAAATACATATAAAAAATTGCATGTATGTAAGGAGTCCACTGGAGGCAAGCGTAGTGAGAACCCAAGTGCAGATTCTATTAAATCCCAAAAGTGACCAAACAATAAACTAAGACCTGACTTGACTTGGCATGGCATGAACAGACTCTGCGTGAACAAAAACAAGAACTTACCAACAGAGGTTACAGGGACAATACTCGATAAGAGACAATGGCAACATTAGGGCTAGGGCTGTGCAATTAATCGCATGCGATTGTCATGCGCATCTCGTCAGTAAAGCCGGTTCCGTGATTGGTAGTAGATCTCCATCACCTGCTTTCAGATGGAGCGGCATTTACTACACAGAGCCGTAGTTCACTGACAATTAGGCAATTGCAGATGAATCGCATTCAATTATGAATGCGATATTGCCTAGCTTGTCAGTGAACTATGGCTCTGTGTAGTAAATGCCGCTCCATCTGAAAGCAGGTGATGGAGATCTACTACCAATCACGGAACCGGCTTTACTGACGAGATGCGCATGACAATCGCATGCGATTAATTGCACAGCCCTAATTAGGGCTATAAATACTAAACAGTAAGGGTCACATGACATAAACCAACCAATGAGCAAACAGTACTGAGAACCACATGACAGGACAATAACCAATAGGTGTGTTCGACTTCATGCAGCACTACGCAGATCGATCACAATCTGACTTGAAGCAATGCATGCCGGTTAGTAATTTTGTCCAACTTGAGACGGCGCCGACACCACGTCACTGTCACGTGTGGCATCAAAGCACCGTGAGAGCGTTTCGAGAGCTGACTCAGCCGGCGCAGTTTCTCCAGAGCGGCTGCAGGAGCGTTGATGACGACACAGCCGTTTCACGATTGGCCAGATTCACCGCATGACAACTATCACGTGTGTTTCGGGTTAATTCTAACCATTTCAATTCCAATAATAGCCACAAATCTGTGTTTTTAGAACAGTAAAAGCTTTTTTACTGTAGTCACAATGATATATTGAGTCACGTTTATCATAAAACACTGATGAAAGCATACATTCCCCCACTTTATTAGTATTTAAATAGTATATATTTACGTTGAACTTTATTCTTGAACAGTTGGCGATGTATTAAGCAGTATATAATCAGTATATATCTGTTGCTCATGAAAACGTTTCTGAAGCGTCTGTATATTTGACAAATAATTGCATTTAATTCACTTCATCTGTGATAGAGTATGCAAACACCGCGCAAGCGTCACTAACGGGAGCAAAAAGTGTCCGGCTTGACGGCTCCGTTTTCAACTCCGCCCCCGACTGCAAGCGGCTACTCTCGTTGACTGTCGTCTGTAGCGGTGCTTCAAGTCGAACGCACCTAACGATAACAAGACAAATGAACAAGACAACCAATCAGAACATGACACATACACTTGGCAGGATACCATGAGGATAAGGGAACCACATGACTAAACAGGAACCATGACTTGTGACAAAATAAAAGACATGAAAACATGAACATAAACCAAAACCCAAAACAGGCGTGACAATGTAATTCTATGAAAGCTATGTTTATATAAAGCTACGTTTTGTAATGTTTTTGCAATGCTTTTCTCATTTAACACATTAACTGAACTTTTGGGGGTATTTTCTCAAAACTGATGCATGATTAATTTGCGATGAATTAATCAGCACATCAAGTAATTAATTCGATTTTAATCTAAAATAACATTTTAATCGCTTGACAGCCCCAGCCGTTATATCTCCAGACAGCAATGGGACTATATGGAAAAGAAACAGAGTTTGAATCTTCACATTTTCACAAGCATCTACTCGTAGACTTTCACAAAGATCTCAACAAACAAAATGTTAAAATCTGCAATGCAAGGCTCCACGCAGGTCAGCCAGCAAACATTTTACACAGGCACGCTCAATGTCTCCCTCACACAATAGAAAGATCTCTGATTTTGAACATTTCCGGCCCTCACCTCGGTTATCATGGAAGGCTTTGAACGTCTGATCAAAGCACACATCAGCGCTTCACGGCCCGACGCCACAGAGCCGTAACCATTTGCATACAGATAGAATAGATGAATCGAGGACACTGTGCCCTACATACTAGCTGAGATGTCCAGCGCCCTACATACTGCACTACACATCGCTGCATCTTCAGGGTTTGTCACTCAGCTTTTGGACCAAGCAGCAACATTCAGAGTGTCTCTGGACAAACATTACTGTTACCCACCAGTACCAGGTCACCTGGGGGTCGGGGGAGCCGGACGTGATGCAGGTGAACGTCACTGACTCCTGGTAGTCGGCGGTGGCGTTGAAGGACTGCTGCGGCACCGACAGAACCGGAGGAACTGAAACGATACCAGACATGCATATTTAACACTTGTTTCCATGTCTCTCACTATACAGCTGAAGTCAGATGCTTGTTTGAATTGGACTCACTGTTGTCCAGTATTCAAACTCCAGTCAGCCCGCTCTGATTGTGTTTTCTGTCTAATTTATTCCAATGCATACAGTATGTGACTATAAACTGACACATCTGAATACATGCACATGAGATATCAAAAGAAGTGTGCAAGTGAAGTGGCTCTTTCCATTTTTTCTTTTTGCACTTAATAATAATATTTAAATAAACAATATTTTTACTATATAACAAAATATAAATATATAATGTCATATAAATAATAATATTTAAATAAATAAATAAATAAATATGTATAAATTTATACTAAAGTTATAAGTGATAAAGTCAAAAATGCTATGACCTGATTATTGAATATTACTGCAAAATATTGAAATAAATAAATGTATATATATATATATATATATATATACACCCATTTTTACACACATTACACATTATCTATCTATCTATCTATCTATCTATCTATCTATCTATCTATCTATCTATCTATCTATACACAAAACAATAAATAATATATTGAATAATATGGATTAACTAATATTTAATATTTCTGAGAGATTTAGTAAAACGCACATTAAATATGTACTACAAAACCACAAGCTAAATATATACAAATATTACATATAATAAAACTGAAGAACCAGTATTTCCTGACAGAAAGAAAAAGGTTAAGTAAGAAATAAACATTACATATTTAGTACAAGAACACAAGCTTTTAATGCATTGCTCAATAATGCATGTTGGTGCTATTGAGCAATGAGAGTATGTTTCTGGTCTTCAGTTTTTTTTATTGATCTTTGGGTAAGCACTAAATTATTAATCAATCAATCAGCTGTTGCTATTATTATTTTAAGCTCCAGTTCTTATGTAAACTTTTTTTTTTGGACCAAATTAGGTTTGTTTCCTCAACTTTATCTCTGGCCTGTAATGAAAATTATTTAACTGTCAAACAGTATTTCAGCAAACCACGTCTGCAGTGTGTTTACGTTCACGTTTCAGTCTGATTCCCTTTAAATGTCCCAGAGTAACGTCCTTATTTCAAAACAACTTTGTGTGGTGTCAGTCTATGACGGGCTGAATCCATCTGATACGAAGCTTTAAGAGAATCAAACAGCCCCTAACAATGTCTCTCCAGCACAATCATTATTCACCGCTCTGTGATTCGCCTCCTGTTAGAATTCAAAGAGGCTGAAATGACTCGTTTTTCTTGGTGATGCGTATCAGCGAAGGACGACGCAAATGAGACGCCCTCTATCTCTGTGACATTTCCTTTTAAAGGATCGAGCAGATGCGGACAGAAGTTGGCGAGTCGGCCCCTGTCTGCGCTCAAACCGCTCCTCTGATGATGAAAGTCAGGGTTAAGGGCGCGGAAAGAGCACGCTAGCGCACGTCTGCATGCTAATCATCGGCGTAAACACATCCACGCACACAGATGTACAGGAGAGTTAGAAGAAACACAGACGAGCAAACAAAGACCAGGCGCTTCTCAAGTCATCGCTCAGTAATGCGAAGGATCACCAGCTCAGAGAGTCACAAACGCTGGTTTATGCTGCTTACGTGTGTATATTAACCAGGCCAACCTAGTCAAGTCTTGCTGGTTAAGCTAGTAAACAAGACTGGTGGAGAACGGAGTACAAAAACATATCATATGACAGCTGGGATGGTAATAACTGACGAGGTGGTAAACAATTAATGACTTGCTGCTGTTTTTCTCGCTTAACTAAGACTAACTTTAATATGAATAATTTCTGATGACATATTTTACACACATTACACATTATCTATCTATCTATCTATCTATCTATCTATCTATCTATCTATCTATCTATCTATCTATCTATCTATACACAAAACAATAAATAATATATTGAATAATATGGATTAACTAATATTTAATATTTCTGAGAGATTTAGTAAAACGCACATTAAATATGTACTACAAAACCACAAGCTAAATATATACAAATATTACATATAATAAAACTGAAGAACCAGTATTTCCTGACAGAAAGAAAAAGGTTAAGTAAGAAATAAACATTACATATTTAGTACAAGAACACAAGCTTTTAATGCATTGCTCAATAATGCATGTTGGTGCTATTGAGCAATGAGAGTATGTTTCTGGTCTTCAGTTTTTTTTATTGATCTTTGGGTAAGCACTGAATTATTAATCAATCAATCAGCTGTTGCTATTATTATTTTAAGCTCCAGTTCTTATGTAAACTTTTTTTTTGGACCAAATTAGGTTTGTTTCCTCAACTTTATCTCTGGCCTGTAATGAAAATTATTTAACTGTCAAACAGTATTTCAGCAAACCACGTCTGCAGTGTGTTTACGTTCACGTTTCAGTCTGATTCCCTTTAAATGTCCCAGAGTAACGTCCTTATTTCAAAACAACTTTGTGTGGTGTCAGTCTATGACGGGCTGAATCCATCTGATACGAAGCTTTAAGAGAATCAAACAGCCCCTAACAATGTCTCTCCAGCACAATCATTATTCACCGCTCTGTGATTCGCCTCCTGTTAGAATTCAAAGAGGCTGAAATGACTCGTTTTTCTTGGTGATGCGTATCAGCGAAGGACGACGCAAATGAGACGCCCTCTATCTCTGTGACATTTCCTTTTAAAGGATCGAGCAGATGCGGACAGAAGTTGGCGAGTCGGCCCCTGTCTGCGCTCAAACCGCTCCTCTGATGATGAAAGTCAGGGTTAAGGGCGCGGAAAGAGCACGCTAGCGCACGTCTGCATGCTAATCATCGGCGTAAACACATCCACGCACACAGATGTACAGGAGAGTTAGAAGAAACACAGACGAGCAAACAAAGACCAGGCGCTTCTCAAGTCATCGCTCAGTAATGCGAAGGATCACCAGCTCAGAGAGTCACAAACGCTGGTTTATGCTGCTTACGTGTGTATATTAACCAGGCCAACCTAGTCAAGTCTTGCTGGTTAAGCTAGTAAACAAGACTGGTGGAGAACGGAGTACAAAAACATATCATATGACAGCTGGGATGGTAATAACTGACGAGGTGGTAAACAATGAGTGACTTGCTGCTGTTTTTCTCGCTTAACTAAGACTAACTTTAATATGAATAATTTCTGATGACATACAGTGGGGAAAAAAAGTATTTAGTCAGCCACCAATTGTGGAAGTTCTCCCACTTAAAAAGATGAGAGAGGCCTGTAATTTTCATCATAGGTATACCTCAACTATGAGAAACAAAATGAGGAAAAAAAATCCAGAAAATCACATTGTAGGATTTTTTAAGAATTTATTTGCAAATTATGGTGGAAAATAAGTATTTGTAATGACTTGCTGCTGTTTTTCTCGCTTAACTAAGACTAACTTTAATATGAATAATTTCTGATGACATAAATTCATTTCGAGATGTAACTTCTCTTCTATTATATTGTTTGCATATTAAAACTACTCTGACAAGTTGCAAAAATGATTCCTGTAAATATATGTGATGTACATATATATAATGGTATATTATATATGCTATATTTTATATAGGTAAGCATGACAAAGTGTGTGTGAATATATAAATACATATATACAGTAATTGTAGAATTTATTCAAGATCTTAATTTCTAAATATATAATTGATTTCAACAGCCCTGGCCTTGTTTTAAATATTTTTAATGCATTTACTGGATATTTGCAGTCAAAGAATTCAGAACAAAAAATTCGCTGTTTGAAAATATATGTCTATAAAACTAAAAAATCAGTTGTGTTAAATGTCAAATGTTCAATATTCAAGTAAAAAAAAATCTAATTCAGAACTATGTTAAATACCACATAATATTCAGTTTTGATAAATGCCACTTGTCAATAATTCAAACTTATACAATACAAATTCAAATAGTTTTGTCATATTATAAGCTCCATAATCGTTTTCTCACTGACACGCCCCCCAACTCGGAAATTCGGGGGTTAAAGAAAATGTCGAGTTTCCCACTCGTAACAACGACTTTGTGCTGGCGATCATGTGCGTTCAACTCGTAAATACGATCTATCTGACATGACTTGAACGCAGCATTAAAGTCTCTACTAATGAGCTGACGAGTTGAATCGGGCGTGTTAGACGAGTGAGACAGTTTTGAAAACCATTTCAGAGTCATGTTCTTAAATGTGATTCATATATAACATATAACATGCATGCACAGTTTTAATGTTAAATACCACATAATATTCAGTTTTGATAAATGCCACTTGTCAATAATTCAAACTTATACAATACAAATTCAAATAGTTTTGTCATATTATAAGCTCCATAATCGTTTTCTCACTGACACGCCCCCCAACTCGGAAATTCGGGGGTTAAAGAAAATGTCGAGTTTCCCACTCGTAACAACGACTTTGTGCTGGCGATCATGTGCGTTCAACTCGTAAATACGATCTATCTGACATGACTTGAACGCAGCATTAAAGTCTCTACTAATGAGCTGACGAGTTGAATCGGGCGTGTTAGACGAGTGAGACAGTTTTGAAAACCATTTCAGAGTCATGTTCTTAAATGTGATTCATATATAACATATAACATGCATGCACAGTTTTAAGGCAGCTTTAATTGTCTTTTGCTAACTTCGTGACTTAACTGACCATGACATTGCATGCACGTAGTTTCATTCGCGCTTTGATATGAGATGATACAGGCTACTGCCGCTGAAGTGAAGTTGGAGTGCGCATATGAAACATCTAACATTGGATGTGGTCATAAAGATGTTCTGCGACTAAATAAATGCACTTCTTGTCAAGAAAAAGTGCAGTTGTGATTGGGGTGGCCAACCCTAGCCCTGGCCTTGTGTTAATTGTGTTAAATATTTTTGACGCATTGAACTGAAAATATGAATCGCCTGCATTATCGTGCTAATTTTGATAGCACAAATATATATATATATAGCATATATAAGCATTGGATTTGAAGTTAATCCCGCAATATGACTATTTGGTGAACAGACATTTTTCATTTGTCTGAATGGAAATGTGGATGGTTAGCATTAACTAAATGTACAAATCTATGAATTCTTTGATGGGAAATGATCATGAAGTATACGTGGTTATTGATTCAACTCGTAAATACGATCTATCTGACATGACTTGAACGCAGCATTAAAGTCTCTACTAATGAGCTGACGAGTTGAATCGGGCGTGTTAGACGAGTGAGACAGTTTTGAAAACCATTTCAGTCATGTTCTTAAATGTGATTCATATATAACATATAACATGCATGCACAGTTTTAAGGCAGCTTTAATCGTCTTTTTGCTAACTTCGTGACTTAACTGACCATGACATTGCACGCACGTAGTTTCATTCGCGCTTTGATATGAGATGATACAGGCTACTGCCGCTGAAGTGAAGTTGGAGTGCGCATATGAAACATCTAACATTGGATGTGGTCATAAAGATGTTCTGCGACTAAATAAATGCACTTCTTGTCAAGAAAAAGTGCAGTTGTGATTGGGGTGGCCAACCCTAGCCCTGGCCTTGTGTTAATTGTGTTAAATATTTTTGACGCATTGAACTGAAAATATGAATCGCCTGCATTATCGTGCTAATTTTGATAGCACAAATATATATATATATAGCATATATAAGCATTGGATTTGAAGTTAATCCCGCAATATGACTATTTGGTGAACAGACATTTTTCATTTGTCTGAATGGAAATGTGGATGGTTAGCATTAACTAAATGTACAAATCTATGAATTCTTTGATGGGAAATGATCATGAAGTATACGTGGTTATTGTGTCTTGCTGGTTAAGATGTTTGTGGTGGTAAAGTCCCAGTTAACCAATATAAACCAGCTTGAAGAGACAAGTTCAGACTAAAATGCTAGTCTTTTCACATTCAAACTAAAATGGGCGTTTGGCATCTCAAATCCACATGTAGTTTATCAACTCAGCATCTTTGCACTCAATTTTCTGCCGACTAGATTTGTGACTAAATGTTTCAATTAACATAAACTTCAAGCTTCTGTGACTCACAAGCAAACGGCGACCTTATCTCCACTAACGCTTCACAAAACACCGCCCGTCTTTTCTACGCATTCATTTACCTTGTTCTGCAGAATGAGCCGTCGTCAGGATTTGATAGCACCGAGCTCTGCCTGAACGGACACAATAGTATTTGCACAACTCATACTTCTTTAAACTGATGTAATAACACGCAAAGACGAATAAAAGTGCATTGCATTCAATTTAGCATCACCACTTATAGCTTTCAGGAAGATCCAATAAGCTCGCTCAATGAGGCGCGTCCTATTATCCCCAAGACATGACAAGTGCCGTCTGCCTCGGAAACAGAACAACCTGCTACTTAAATCACTTAGCAAACGCTGACTAGCAAGCGACGACGCCTGGGTCTCGTGTCCAAGACTGGAGATTGCATCCAGAATTTCCCCCTAGATTTATTCCCAGCCTTGGCTGAGCTGCAGCGGATCATAGCGGTGTGTTGGAACGCCATCCGCTGCTGTAATGAAACGCCTCGTTCTGCTTTGACCTTCCATCTTGAGTTAACACGGTCATGTTGCATATGCGACCCATCTGTTTGAGGCTCGTTTGGATCACTGTTCTTCTAGTAAGGACACAGATTCTAGAGGCCTTTTGAGAGAATTATGATTGGCAATTAAGTTATTCAAGTGATGTGCTTTGTTTGGCAATAAGATTTACATATGCAACTTCTCAGATGGCTTTTAGAGTGCAACTATTACAACAGTTGTTTCACTAAATTAATTTACAGCATCAGCACTGATTAAAAATGTAAAAAGTAACATTTAAAAATGGTAAAAAAAAGTAACATTTAAATAAAAAAAACATTACATTAAAATTAAAAAATTATATTATTAAATGTTAAAATTAAATGTTAAAAATGATACAATTAAAATGAGTAAAACTGTGACATTTAAAAAATGTTAAATTGAAAAATAGTAAAAAAAATTTAATTTTAATTTAAAAGTGTTACACTTAAAAATAGTAAAAAAAAAAAAAAAAAAGTTAAAGCATTGCCAGCTGAGTCTTAGCCTATTAACAAAGTGTTTCTATATCATTTTATGCTTAAATGGCACTAGTATTAAATATTGTGGTTTTAATGGGTTTCAATTTGAACATTTGTGAAACCATTTATTTAGATTTATTAAATACAATTAGGGTGAAATATTACAATTCCAATAAAAATATAAATTTTCTAACAAAATGCATGTTTTTGCATCAACAGCCAAAATCATAAAAATAATAATAATGACAGACAGACAGACAGAGACAGAGAGACAGATAGATAGATAGATAGATAGATAGATAGATAGATAGATAGATAGATAGATAGATAGATCCCACGGATACCATGAGAAAACTCATCTTATTCTATCAGTGTTATGATATTTTATCGTATTGTTATTAAGTGAGTTGGTAAAGGGGTGGCTGGACAGTCTGTCACAGTGGAGCGCTGTACGCTTATTGAGCTGTTCAGAGATCAGTGAGGAAGTGTGTGAAGAACAGCTCTTACCGTTGACCAGCACCACGATGTCCCTGAAGTCGATTTCTCCTCGGGCCTCCACACGTGCCTCACAGCGGTACACTCCCTCGTCAGCTTTACTCACTCGCAGGATCTGCAGGTTGTTGCTGGGAAGCACCTGAAGTCTGCCTTCAGGAAGACACACAAACACAGACGTTACAGCTCTGTGAGACTGCGCTATGCTATTCTACAGTTGCTAGGGAGTTCCAAATGGTTGCTAGTCTGTTGCTATGGCACTGCTAGGGTGTTTTGTGCGTTTGCAAAAATTTTGCTATGCAATTGCTACTGTGTTCTGATTGTTTGCGTTGCTATGCAGTCACTGAGTTCCAGTTGGTTGCTAGTGTGTTGCTATACAGTCACTAGGGTGTTGTGAGTGTTCTGCAGTTGCTACAGTGTTCAGAATGTTTCTCAGTGGGCTGCTAGGCAGTCACTGTGGTGTTCCAGGTGGTTGCTAGTGTGTTGCTGTGCAGTTACTGGGGTGTTCTGATGTTTGGCAAAAGGTTGCTATGCAGTCACTAGGATGTCCTAAGTGTCTGTCAGCTTGTTGTTACGCAGTCGTGTTTTGGTTCCAGTTAGTTGCTAGTGTGTTGCTATTCGGTTACTAGGATATTCGGAGTGTTCTGCAGTTACTACAGTGTTCTGGATGTTTTCCGGTGTGTTGCTTTGCAGGTGGTTGTTAATATGTTGCTATGTGGTTACTAGGGTGCTTTGAGTGTTTGTCAACCTGTTGCCATGCAGTCGCTGGGGTGCTAGTGTGTTGCTATGCAGTTGCTATGGTGTTCTAAGTGTTTGTCAACTACTTGTTATACAGTCGTGTTGTGGTTTCAGTTGTTGCTAGTGTGTTGCTATTCGGTTACTAGGATATTCTGAGTGTTCTGCAGTTACTACAATGTTCTGGATGTTTTCTAGTGTGTTGCTATGCAGGTGATTGTTAATATGTTGCTATGTGGTTACTAGCGTGCTTTGAGTGTTTGTCAACCTGTTGCCATGCAGTCGCTGGGGTGCTAGTGTGTTGCTATGCAGTTGCTATGGTGTTCTAAGTGTTTGTCAACTACTTGTTATACAGTCGTGTTGTGGTTTCAGTTGTTGCTAGTGTGTTGCTATTCGGTTACTAGGACATTCTGAGTGTTCTGCAGTTACTACAATGTTCTGGATGTTTTCTAGTGTGTTGCTATGCAGGTGATTGTTAATATGTTGCTATGTGGTTATTGGGTGCTTTGAGTGTTTGTCAACCTGTTGCCATGCAGTCGCTGGGGTGCTAGTGTGTTGCTATGCAGTTGCTATGGTGTTCTAAGTGTTTGTCAACTACTTGTTATACAGTCGTGTTGTGGTTCCAGTTGTTGCTATTTAGTTGCTAGGATATTCTGAGTGTTCTGCAGTTACTACAGTGTTCTGGATGTTTTCCAGTGTGTTGCTATGCAGGTGGTTGTTAATATGTTGCTATGCAGTTGCTATGGTGTTCTAAGTGTTTGTCAACTACTTGTTATACAGTCGTGTTGTGGTTCCAGTTGTTGCTAGTGTGTTGCTATTTAGTTGCTAGGATATTCTGAGTGTTCTGCAGTTACTACAGTGTTCTGGATGTTTTCCAGTGTGTTGCTATGCAGGTGGTTGTTAATATGTTGCTATGCAGTTGCTATGGTGTTCTAAGTGTTTGTCAACTACTTGTTATACAGTCGTGTTGTGGTTCCAGTTGTTGCTAGTGTGTTGCTATTTAGTTGCTAGGATATTCTGAGTGTTCTGCAGTTACTACAGTGTTCTGGATGTTTTCCAGTGTGTTGCTATGCAGGTGGTTGTTAATATGTTGCTATGCAGTTGCTATGGTGTTCTAAGTGTTTGTCAACTACTTGTTATACAGTGTTGTGGTTCCAGGTGGTTGCTAGTGTGGTGCTCTGTAGTTGCCAGTGTGTTCTGATTGCTTGCAAATGTGTTGCTATGCAGTTGCTATGGTGTTCTAAGTGTTTGTCAACTACTTGTTACACAGTCGTGTTGTGGTTTCAGTTGTTGCTAGTGTGTTGCTATTCGGTTACTAGGACATTCTGAGTGTTCTGCAGTTACTACAATGTTCTGGATGTTTTCTAGTGTGTTGCTATGCAGGTGATTGTTAATATGTTGCTATGTGGTTACTAGCGTGCTTTGAGTGTTTGGTTGTGGTTCCAGGTGGTTGCTAGTGTGGTGCTCTGTAGTTGCCAGTGTGTTCTGATTGCTTGCAAATGTGTTGCTATGCAGTTGCTACAGTGTTCTGAGTGTTACTATCAGCTGTTAGGGTGCTCCAGGTGGTTGCTAATGTGTTGCTATGCAGCTGCTAGGGGGTTTGAGTGTTTGGAAACATGCTGCTATGCAGATGCTACGGTGTTCTGAATGTTTGACAGTGTGTTGCTATGCAGTCACTGGGGTGTTCCAGGTAGTTGCTATTATGTTGCTGTATATTTACTAGGGTGCCCTGAGTGTTTGGCAACATGTTGTTATACAGTTGCTGGCATGCTTTCAGGTGGTTGCTAGTGTGTTTCTATGCAGTTGCTGGGGTGCTAGTGTGTTGCTATGCAGTTGCTATGGTGTTCTAAGTGTTTGTCAACTACTTGTTATACAGTGTTGTGGTTCCAGGTGGTTGCTAGTGTGGTGCTCTGTAGTTGCCAGTGTGTTCTGATTGCTTGCAAATGTGTTGCTATGCAGTTGCTACAGTGTTCTGAGTGTTACTATCAGCTGTTAGGGTGCTCCAGGTGGTTGCTAGTGTGTTGATATGCAGTTGCTAGGGCATTCTATATGTTTGCCAACATGCTGCTATACTGTACATTTGCTGGTGTGTTTTCAGGTGGTTGCTAATGTGTTGCTATGCAGCTGCTAGGGGGTTTGAGTGTTTGGAAACATGCTGCTATGCAGATGCTACGGTGTTCTGAATGTTTGACAGTGTGTTGCTATGCAGTCACTGGGGTGTTCCAGGTAGTTGCTATTATGTTGCTGTATATTTACTAGGGTGCCCTGAGTGTTTGGCAACATGTTGTTATACAGTTGCTGGCATGCTTTCAGGTGGTTGCTAGTGTGTTTCTATGCAGTTGCTGGGGTGCTAGTGTGTTGCTATGCAGTTGCTATGGTGTTCTAAGTGTTTGTCAACTACTTGTTATACAGTCGTGTTATGGTTCCAGTTGTTGCTAGTGTGTTGCTATTTGGTTGCTAGGATATTCGGAGTGTTCTGCAGTTACTACAGTGTTCTGGATGTTTTCCAGTGTGTTGCTATGCAGGTGATTGTTAATATGTTGCTATGTGGTTATTGGGTGCTTTGAGTGTTTGTCAACCTGTTTCTATGCAGTTGCTGGGGTGCTAGTGTGTTGCTATGCAGTTGCTATGGTGTTCTAAGTGTTTGTCAACTACTTGTTATACAGTCATGTTGTGGTTCCAGGTGGTTGCTAGTGTGGTGCTCTGTAGTTGCCAGTGTGTTCTGATTGCTTGCAAATGTGTTGCTATGCAGTTGCTACAGTGTTCTGAGTGTTACTATCAGCTGTTAGGGTGCTCCAGGTGGTTGCTAGTGTGTTGATATGCAGTTGCTAGGGCATTCTATATGTTTGCCAACATGCTGCTATACTGTACATTTGCTGGTGTGTTTTCAGGTGGTTGCTAATGTGTTGCTATGCAGCTGCTAGGGGGTTTGAGTGTTTGGAAACATGCTGCTATGCAGATGCTACGGTGTTCTGAATGTTTGACAGTGTGTTGCTATGCAGTCACTGGGGTGTTCCAGGTAGTTGCTATTATGTTGCTGTATATTTACTAGGGTGCCCTGAGTGTTTGGCAACATGTTGTTATACAGTTGCTGGCATGCTTTCAGGTGGTTGCTAGTGTGTTTCTATGCAGTTGCTAGGTTGTTTTGAGTGTTTGGATACACGTTGCTATGCAGTTGCTATGGTATTCTGAATGTTTGCCAATGTGTTGCTATGCAGTTGATACAGTGTTCTGAGTGTTTGTTTGTGTGTTGCCATGCAGCTGTTAGGGTGTTTTGGACGGTTGCTAGGCTGTTGCTAAGGTGTTCTGAGTGGTTTGAGTGCTGTTGCTAGGTTGTACTATAGTCTGAGATAGACAGATAAATACTTACATGACACAAACTGCACGAGTTTAATCAAGCAAGTAATGTTACAAATGCAATACTCAACAAATGTAATGTAATACTGTAATAGTGATACTGATATCTGCTTTATCAAACGGCAGCAATAACAAATGGATTTGTGTCTTTGCCAAAGAACATTTCAGACGTCACAGTCCTGGAATCTTTGGATTGATCACTAAACTAAAACCACCGTAAGTTTCTAAGTGAACTTAAAGTCATTGTGTTACATTTAAAGCATCTGACAGAAATATAGTCCTGTGTGCTGTGAGAAAGAAGAAAGCTGAGGATTTAATCAACAGACTCATTTTTCATCTGTGCGCAATAATAGGAAAATATTATCATCAATCCTCAAAACTACTTCTGCTTCCATTTCAAGGACATTTGCTAAATGAAACACCTTTCGGATTACAGCCTTTCTTTGGCTTTTGTCGTCCCTCGCTGATAAACACACACCTTGTCTCCTCTCGTTCAGGAGAGATATTTATAACCGACTCCGTAATTATAATAAAAATAATCAAAATCTCCATCTTTTAATCTCCCAGGCTGGAAAGTGCAGATAGCTTGTCACAGTTCTGCCTTTGAATTCTAATTAATGGTTTGACACCTAAAATGTAGACGGAAGTTTTTATTCCCTCAGCAGAGAACTTTACTGAATTCAGACACTTAATGTGGTTTAATCCAAAATGCATTAAATTATTTGTGGTTTTTAGTGGATGTTTTTCAATAACAGAAGAATATGTAAAAGTGTGGTATTTGGGTTCAAAAGTTCTCTGCTGCTGAGTTTAAAAGCACAATAATTAACATGTCTAACATATTTAATTTACATAATTAGCACCATATTTATAATGAAAGCATCATATAAAAAAAAAATATGATAATAATTATATCATGTAATAAAATATATTAATCATGTCATATAATAAAATATAATAATTTAAAATATATTTTAAAAAATATAATGAAATATATTAAATTAAGATGGGCATTCACAATATTTAATATTTTTTTAATATATTTTTTGCTTCTGAATTTTTTTAATGAATGAAAAAATACTATTTTCTTACAATAGCAAGTTTGTATCTCACAATTCTGTATTTATAACTCACAACTGTGTGTTATAAAGTCAGAATTGTGAGATAAAAAAAGTCACAATTACCTTATTTATTTATTTTTATTCAACAAGCTTCCATAAAAATGGACATATTTTAAATGACAGTATATTTATTGACCAAAAATAAATTATTTTATTTATCAAAATAAGCTTCCTAAGCTCTATTGTAATTTTCTAATGCAAAAATCCCAAGAGATGAACCGAAATACAATATCTGGACTGCAATTACAAATAATTAACAATCAAAAACAAAACAGCATCACAAAGTACCACAGCAAACTTAAAAAAAAAAATTCAAAATGAAAATTCCACTTCAACTTAAAAAAGTAAGGTTTGTGCCTTATTTATTATTAATATTTATTTATTTATTTTTAAGTATAATCAAATTGGCTGTACAAGTCATTTTAACTTCAATGGCATTAAACAGACTTAAATAATCAAGTTGAATCTGGAATCACTTAAAAAAGTAAGCTGAAATTGGTTAAAATAATTTGTTGAGTTAAATTAACGGAGAAATATTATTTATTTAGCATGTTTTTTTTTTCTTTTGAACATGTACCACAGTAATTCCATGATATTCTGATACTCTGGAGTACCGTGTTGTATATGAATATGTGACTCTTCAGCACAAAAGCAGTGTTGAGTCGCTGGGGGATATTTGTAGCAATAGCCAACAATACATTGTATGGGTCACAATTATACATTTCTCTTTTATACCAAAAATCATTAGGATATTAAGTAAAGATCATGTTCCATGAAGATATTTAGTAAATCTCCTACCGTAAATATATCAAAACTTAATGTTTGATTAGTAACATGCATTGCTAAGAACTTCATTTGAACAACTTTAAAGATGATTTTCTCAATATTTAGATTTTTTTGCACCCTCAGATTCCAGATTTTCAAATAGTTGCATCTCAGCCAAATATTGTCAGATCCTAACAAACCATGCATCAATGGAAAGATTATTTATTCAGCTTTCAGATGATGTATACATCTCAATTTCGAAAAATTGACACTTTAGACTGGTTTTGTGCTCCGGGGTCACATATATGAGTGTGTATATGAATTGTGAGTGCTCTTACTGTTGGGTTCGGACGTGATTTCTCGGTTCTTGTAGAACCATGAGACGGCTGGCACCGGTGAACTGATGACATCACAGACGACCTCAGCGTCCTCGCTCTGACGAAACTCCTGCGGCGTCTTCACCTCGAGGAACGTCAGCTTCTCTGAGAGCAAACGAACACAGCGTCATCAGAGATCTCAGTCAGGGTTATTAGAATTAAAGGTGAAATTCACCAAAAGATGAAAATTCTGTCATCATTTACTCGCACTCAAGTTATTTCAAACCTGAATGAGTTTGTTTCTTCTGTTGAACACAAAAGAAGATATTTTGAAGAACGTTTATAACCAAACAGTAGACGGTAGCCATTAACTGTCATATTATTATTATTCATTTTTGTTCCACACTATAAAAGTCAATGGCTACCGTCAACTCTTTGGTTACTGACATTCTTTAAAACAACTTATTTTGTGTGAGTAAAAGTTGACAAAACTTTCATTTTTGAGTGAACTATCCCTTTAACTAAAACTAAAACCACATATATAACACTTTACACTTTAACTACATCAGTTAATATTAATCATCTGATTAAAAATCAAGTTGTATCCATTCATATTATTTAATGGACCTGAGTTAACGGGAACTAACAAAGAACAGTTGTATTAACTAATGCTAACAAATATTGATAAATACTGTAACAAATGCATTGCTCATTGTCAGTTAATGCTAGTTAACGCATTATTTTAAAGCGTTACTAATAAATTAAAGAATAATAAAATAAGGCTTAAATGTATTTTATTGTAGCTTATATTCATAACATTATAAACATTAAAAATACAAATTAATGAATAAAAACAAAGAAATACTAAAAACTATAATATAACAGTATCTCAATACTAAAATAGGACATCTCCATATGAACTAAAAATTGTATTTGAACATTGCTATACTATTTTAACACTCAATATTTCAGTGTTCCACTTTAGACATTCTACTAACTATAAGTAACTTTGTAACTAACGTAACTCACTCTCATTAGATAATTAGACCGTTAGGTTACAGTTGGGGTCAGTAGAATAAGTTGGCATGTTGCAAATAGGGGTGTGCGATATATATCGTCTGCGATAATATCGTAATTGTTGTTTTAACGATGTGCAATTTGATATTATCGAGTATTTTGCAAAAACCAAACAAAACACCTACGGAGTGCACGCACACATTACGTGACGAAGTCTAGTGGGTTAAACAGTGCACATGTGCATTTAGAGAGTGTTCTTTCACTGCATGATTCAGTCTATTAAAATGCATTAAGAAAGATCACAAAATTCAAGATATGGGGGCAGAAAATGTACATATTTATATCATTTCATATAGTTAAAATCACACATGGCGGTGTTTCGTTCCTGAACGAATCAACCGTTTAAATGATTCGGTTCAATCGCGACGACTCACTTGTTAACAGTGACTTGCTGCCACCTACTGGCGGATTTAATTTCACACTTAAAGTATCTTCTCATTTTTTAAATAATTTCAAACATCGGTATTTAATGTTTTATCGTGACGAAGTCTAGTGGGTTAAACAGTGCACATGTGCATTTAGAGAGTGTTCTTTCACGGCATGATTCAGTCTATTAAAATGCATTAAGAAAGATCACAAAATTCAAGATATGGAGGCAGAAAATGTACATATTTATATCATTTCATATAGTTAAAATCACACATGGCGGTGTTTCGTTCCTGAACGAATCAACCGTTTAAATGATTCGGTTCAATCGCGACGACTCACTTGTTAACAGTGACTTGCTGCCACCTACTGGCGGATTTAATTTCACACTTAAAGTATCTTCTCATTTTTTAAATAATTTCAAACATCGGTATTTAATGTTTTATGTTTAAAATATTGAAGCATTATGCATTTGTAACTGCAGGTTAAAGCACTCCATGTCCCTCTGAGCTGAATTTAACAGTGTGCAAATACATCTAAATGCCACTTCAGATGCAACTTCTGCAAAGATTAATTTTGTTGATACTGGTTTCATTTGTTTGGTAACAGCCTAAATGTCTTATTATTATAATTGGCTGATTAAATGTAGCAATTCGACTCAAAAGATGCACTCTTTTAGCAAAAAATGGCTTTATTAAAAAGGTAAAAATGCCCATAAAAGGTAAAAATCTATTTAAACTTATACGAAAAGATTAAACTGACCACCACACAGAATGAAGAATATCAAAAACTGCAGCTGTCCATGGTAGTCAGATATCAGCACAATAACATACTATGCAAAATATCGAAAAATCTAGATTTTTTTTTTCAATATCGCACACCCCTACTTGCAAAGTTACATATTGTCAGCAGAATAAAAGTAAAGCATCACTATCAAAACATAGTGTTACTCTGTTTGTTTCTCCACTCTTCTCCTGAATGATGAAAGAGCAACCACTGAGTTCTTTGTACAAGCATTTACAGTACCTCAGTGAAAGCAGCTTCATTTCTCACAGAAGTGCATCTCTTTTAACTCCAAGTATAACAGCCATCACGAATCGAATGAATCAAGCTGTTTCACCGGCTAATCAAAATGATTATTTTTCTCCCTCGTCTCTGCATGCTTTGAATGTGATCGCATTCATCCTCTCAGTATTTGCACAAGTGTGCTTGTAAACAGACAGAATCTCTCGCTGTTTGGCTGAAATCATGTTTCTGTTCTGAAGGTCAGGGCCGAGTGCCGCACTGGGTCTGATTCTACACTATTACACACATTTATTCAGTCCAAACGCACTGTACTGAAGGTCATCTGACAGAAATCACTGAATGAGAAAAGGAAACTGTCGTATTGGTTTGATTTAGTCCAAAACAAAGTGCGATGAGAGTGATTTGCTGGAATTTTTTTTTAGTGTTTTGACCTTCATAATGTCCCAGTTCTGCCTGAAAGACATCACCAGCAAGGAGGGTTGTGGAACTGAGAGCCGGTTCTTATAAAGAACCAGTTCTGTTTTCTGAGAAATACCGGAATTGTGTGAAATTCATAACTTTCGCTTTCCCAAAAACAAAAGTTTGGTTTAACAGGAAATTATGACAGAAATAAATTGTTATTGCACACTTAAAGGCACAATATGTATATTATATAGGCCTGAGTGGTCCCTAGTACTGTATCTGAAGTCTCTTTCCCGAAATTCAGCCTTGGTGCAGAATTTCAGCCACTACGAGCCAGCCCCACAATGAGCTTTCCTTAGGACGTGCCATTTCTGTGTCTGTAGCTTTAAATGCTAATGAGGAGGAGAGAGGCGGGGCAAGGTGCTTCGCTCGTTTGCAAGCCATGATGTCTCTCAACGAAAAAAAATATTGTGCTCGCCTCGCACGGTAGTAGCTCAGTTTCTCATGGGCGGGCCAAATTCTCTGGGCGGGCAAAGCAGAGAAAGGGGAGGTAACCTTTCCCCGTATGACGACATAAAGGGAAGCTTCCAGATTGGGCCGTCTGAGCTTTCATTTTCTCAAAGGCGAAGCAGGATACCCAGGGCTCGGTTTACACCTATCGCCATTTCTAGCCACTGGGGGACCGTAGGCAGGCTAGGGGAACTCATATTAATGTTAAAAAACATTAACAACATAAAGTTACATTTTCATGCCATGGGACCTTTAAAATATCCAAAACCACTAGAACAGGAGGATGCTGCACACTGGTGGTGGATGAGGAGATACCCCCTGACAATGTAAAGCGCTTTGAGTGCCTAGAAAAGCGCTATATAAATGTAATGAATTATTATTATTAACAGTGTTATATATTTTGCTGACTTGTGTACTTACAGCCTCTTTGTTTATTTTGAATACGCGCACTCTAGTGGCGAAAATTACATATCGTGCCTTTAATTTAACTAACCCAGCTTTATACTTTAATTTGCTGTTTTCACCATGTTTGACCATATTAAGAAATGTAACAGCATTTAAAATGAGGCGACACTCCAGAAGACTGTAAATCAGTTGCTTGTGTTTGTAGGCACATGTCTGAAAAGGTTTGTTTGTGTGTTTGTTTGTTGCAGAGACTCATTGAGACCGCACCCTTCGGTGAAGATGCGGAGAACATCAGCCAACAAATCCTCAATCACAACAAGTTCCACAGTTCAATCCAGAGAAGCCCGGAAGTAGACAGAGCGCGGGATGAACTGGTACATTGTGTGCACTGCACACACGCTCATGCTAATGCAAACACAGGAATTTGAATGTTGATTCGAAGTGGCAGTAACAGGATATTGAATTGAAATGTAACTAAAATGCATTCAATGCATGCACTAACATTCAAATAAATTCACATAACTGCTTCAAGTGTTGTTTTATAATAGATTTCATTGTAAGAATGACAAACATGTACTGACAGAATCTTTCTGCTTCAGCTGCAGAGCAGAGAAAAGGCCGGACTCCACGCTCTGGACCAAGAATGGGACAGTTTACAGGTCAGCTAATGAAACATCTCTCATTTCTCTTTATCATCTCTGAGATGTTTCTACACTTTGATCAGAGTCCATTGCAGGTGATTCAATTCAATTGCTTATACACCGTCAAATAGATTATATATAAATGTGTTCGGTTTTGATTCACCTACTCATTTTTACCACATTTTAGAATAATAGTAGAGTTATCAAAACTGTATAGTAATACAAATGGGAATATTATGTAGCAACTATTGTAGACTGTAAATGTTTAACAGATCAGTACTCTCCAGTGTTTGCGCTTCTCTCAATCGGATCTTTTCTTCTTTCTTACGTGTAGAAAATGTCCCACACGCGTGTGGCTCAGCTGCGAGACCTGCAGAACATCATCGAGGAGATCTCCAGAGCCATCATATGGGTCAACGACAGAGAGGAAGAGGAGCTGGTGTTTGACTGGGGCGATAAAAACATTGACAACTACATCCCACGAAAACAAGAGAGCTACTCGGTGAGGAGACACACACAAGCATTAGAAACTATTATACAGTAATGCAAATGATCACAAATGCATATTGAATTGGTATAGTGATTTTCACAATTTCAGCTTTTACAGTAAATGCATGTTTCAATGATACAATGTCATTTGACCCTAATGAACTGAGAATCTTTCAAAGTGTTAATTAAAAACTACTGCAAACTTTAATGTTAACCTTATTGTAAAGAGTTACCCAGTTTACATTTCTTTGTTTGTATACATTTATTAATTTAGCGGACACAAAAAAATGCAAAAAATACAGAAAAGAGAACAAGGATTACTTAGTGATCAGGTGGTTGTC